GTGGGGGCGCGGTACATGCCGGGAAGGGTAGTCCACCACGAGGCCCGCCTGGGCCTAGCCCGGGGGGGCTCCCCGGGGGTAGCGGGGTTACCGGGCCGGGACCGGGTGCGCGTCCCCGTCCCCCCCCCACCTCAGCAAGCCGTTCCAGCGTGGGGGGGCCTGCCGTGGCCCCAGCCATTCCTACAGCGCTTGCCACAGCAAGCACGCGAAGGCTTGGTTCTTCCCGGGGAGGGGTTATAAAAATCCCGGACACCCCGAGGCCTCGGGGTGAGGACCGGGGAGGCCCCGCAGGCCTCGGTCAGGGACCCGCCGGGCTGACGCCGTTCTTTTCCCCTTCTCTCGTTGCAGGTTCCCGTGCCGACGGGCCGGGAGGGGGATGCAGGAAGGCGCCAGGAATGAGGAGGTGGGTGCAGGGGGGAAGCTGTGCTCCACAAGCTCCCCCCTGGTCGTCGTAATTAGCCTAATTCTGTGTAATTAGCTACCAAGATTGTCCCCTTGTTAGCCGGGGGCTGAAATCCCCCGGCAGAGCTGTGGCGTGGGGTCTGTCAAGGCTCATTGCCCCATCCCTTCATCCTGGAGGGATTTAGTCAGTGACCACTGCCCGTCCTCTCCTTCGTCCTCATAATTAGCCAAACTAATTAGTTCTGCCAGACCTCGTCAGCCGCCCAACGAGAGTCTCTGGGGGCTGTAATCCCACCGGAGAGCTGCGGCACGGGGCCGTGCCCGGGTTTCCGGTGACAAGAGACCAGTTCCCTTGTCACCCCGCTCCAGTCGCTCCCCTGCACGCATAATTAATCCTGCTAATTAAACATCCGGGCGATGAGCGGCTCGTGGCGAGCGAGGAGTTTCCCCTCCACGCCCTGGCGGGGTCAGAGCTTTCCCCGGCGAGGAGCGGCACGGCTTTGGTGATGCCAAAACCTACTGGAGTTTTTAATCATTAATTTAATTATTATTATTAATTTAATTATTATTTAATTATTAACTCGGCATTTCCTCCCATCGTGCCTCCAAACTTCTCTTTTTTTCTTTCCATTTTAGGTAAAAACCTGGCAGTTGAAGCATTTTGGTGGGGGGAAAGGGGCCGGCAGCGCTCCCGAAATCTCGCCGCCGCGCTCGGTAAGGAGGTTGAT